TAGTGCTAACCAGCGGGGAGGAAGACCACATCAAAGCTTCCCACAGCAACAGCCAATTGGAGCCTTTGGCTTCGCCGCGAAGGTCCCCTGTTGAAGATGTCCGCGAGGACACTGACAGCCTTGTCGACAGCAGCGACTCCGAGCCTCCGGCCTTCATGGATTTCGTTCACGCAGTTGCGAAGGACCCCTTTGAGCACGCCCTGTGCCGGCAGATTTCCGAGGACGGGTCGATGTATGGGACTCCCGCAGACTTTGATCGTCCCCGTGCCATCGCATTGGGACAGGACATACCTGAAACAGCTTCGCAGAAGAGTCAATCCACATCTTCGCCTCATTCACCGAGTCAGGAGCACGACCGCATCTACTGGATTGTTTGAACACCGGCCGATGCAAAAAGCTTGCTTCGCCCTGCCTTGCCTCTCTTGGTCGCCGCAGTCGGAGTAACTCTGGTTGGAGCGAGCACTTCCGAGGTGAGGCCAGCTTGGACTATGTGGACTACTGGTTTCTGAACGGTGTAGACTCGGGGCCGCTGACCTATCAGCTTGGAGCCGAGCTGATCAGGCGGAGGATTCTGATGATAGTGGCCATGAGTTATGAGTTATGATGATGATGATGCTGTTGTTATTGATGGTTATGATGCTGCTGCTGATGCTGAGGGTGGTGACGATTACAATGTGGCGGTGATGATGCTGATGATTGTTTGCGGTGATGATGATGGTGGTGATGATGATGACGACGATAGCAAAGATGATGACAACGATGTAACAGATGTAGATGTTTATTGTGCTGATGATGGATGATGTTGACAATGGCAATGATGATGACCGGACATCGTCAGTTTTGCACGTGATGGTGATCCTGGCGGTCTTGGTGAAGATGAGCAGGGTGATGACGACACCGGCTATCGTGATGATGATAACCGCTTCCACGAGGACGATGCGATGACAGTGATGATAGTGTCATTTGGCAACCCGGTGATGATGATGATGATGGTGGTGATGGTGTGCTGGTTCATAAGCATGTAGTGGTTACCATGACGAAGAACGATATAGCGATGGTGTTGCTTTGGATGTGGATGGTGACGAGGATGCTGAAGCCGGTGGTTCCGATGCTGAAGACCCATGGCCTTCGTGACCAACATCATCATCATCATCATCATCATCATCATCATCAGCCTCATCATCATCATCATCATCATCATCGTGCATCCTTTGTAAAGAAGGCTTTGTGCAAAGATCTGGGAGGTTTCTGGGCTCAGGGAGAGATTTCCCGCACGATATCTGCAGGTGAGAAATGCTGATAATTACCTTGTGTTCACCCTTGTCATCTGCATCAGGGGGATCGTCTGTCTGCACTTGACGAGATGATAGCTCGAGAGCTGAGGTGGCGTTGCAAGATGTGCGCTGACTTCATAGGTGTGGGACTTGGCAAGGGAGCCGTGCGTGGAAGTCACTCTGAAGAAGACTTGAACTCGATGTCTCAGGCTACCAGGCAGACGTTGTCGTCATGGACTGGCCTGTGCCGCATGCAGGGAGGGGGATCAGGCGTCGTAATAATTATTCAGCCACAACCATGTGACCTGCATCACCTGCTGCCCCCACGTGGTCACAACAAGGATACGAGTGAATGCGTGCATGTGTTTGCATTCAGTACTGCAGAGCGAGCTGCATTAACCAGTCTTTAATGCAGGACGAGACAAGGCAGCATGCATAGGTAAATGTTGACAAAGGCAACTCTGCATGGATCTGTGCCCCCGGGAGAGGATTGCTGGCCTGGCGGTACACCCGAGCGGAAGTCGGAGCTCTTTGGGTAGAGTTACGACATCCGCTCGTTTCGGCAATTTCGGGCTTCGAGTCGCCTTCTTGGATTTTCCTCATGCGCCAAGCCGAGGATCACAGAGGCCCGAAAGCACGAATGGGACGGCTGGGTGAGATCCCTGGCATTCGTTCACCACGCTGAAGAGACTCAGCGGGCTGGAAGCTTTTGGGAGCGGATGTCGAACGGGTTTTGGGTGCAGGGAGGAGCTAGATGCCAGAGCGTGGACCTCTACCTGGAAATACTTGGCAAGTAGCTGATATGAATGCAGCAACCGCCAGACCCTTTCCAACTTATCCTTCCTGTTCCCGTCCCCTTGCTTCGCCTTTCGCCTTTCCATCGCAGAGGTGCTCGTCATCGCACGTACGGACCGAGGGCACGATGTCGTCGAGTCGGCGAAGGCGAAAAGAGAATGCGTAGCAATTTGTGCGATCTTCACACGCCGAAGGATTTTAAACCTCCATCCAAAGACATCCGTACACGTCAGCTCAAGTTCACTTCTCAACGCCCGGACGGACGTTATGTCATCTGCCATGTCTACATGGCTCCTGAAAGGAGAATGTCCGAAACGGAGCACCTGCAAACCTGCAGGGCATCAAAGCTAACAAGCTAACATGCATGCCATGTGCACGTAATGCAGGCAGCTGGTCTTCTCTCCTTGGCCCCGGCGGAGTCTATGGAGGTTCTGACAACGCAGTGAGCTTGTCGGCATTACGTGCACCTCCCCCTGCGAGACCCTCACGTTTCGAGTTAATCCGTGACGGAGGCGTGATTGGAAGCCAAGGCCACACCAAGCGCGCAGAGCAGGCAGGGAGATATTGCCGTGGTGATTCCAGGCCCTGCAGAGAGGAATTCCCTGTCCTACCCTTTGTCGCCCAGAGCAGAACCACATCTGCGCAAGAACGATGGCCCAGGCTCTAACTTCATTCGCCGCACAGCACACGCCCAACTCAGCCAACCGCTGACCGCATTGGATCCCGCCGCGGCAGCCCGGGTGGCGCGTTGGGCGACTTCGAGACTAATTTCGGGAGTTCTCTTGATGGCAACTCGATGGTTGACGTTGAGCTGCTCAAGTCCTGCGACTTTGTGTAGGGCGTGGATTACTTAAGTTTCGATCATGTTCGAGCCGGGTGATGGACAAGCTCCGAGGCTCTAGACAAGTCCTTCATGGATGAAGTGCTGAGAACTGGCAAGCCAGCTGACGGCTCAGATTCAGAACACTCCTGCGGCATTTCGGACAATTGAGGAGCCGTGTGGTGTAGTATGGTGTATGTCGATATATTGCATTATATGTAGTATATAGCATGCATGTAACTCATGAAGTATACCATGTTGTGGATTTGTAACAGATAAGTTATAGCATGCAGTTGATACTACATATCTATGTGAGTTAGACTCCATACATCTCTTTGATCTTGTGTCTGACCCTTTTTCGAGGCTCCGGAGACCCCGGAGGCGGCGGCGGAGCTCCGAGCGTTGCTGGGCAGCGAGCCCTGGGCCGAGGCCGGGTCGAAGGGGAGGAAGGCACAGGTACCGGTAGGACCAGTAAAAATCGGATCGGAAGGGATAGTACCTACTGCTACCAGTCGTAGTAGTCGTCGTGGTCGTGATGGTAGCAGCTGCTGCGGGAGGAGGAGGAGGAGGAGTGGTGGACGGGGAGTGGCTGATGCCATACCACAGCCGTAGGAGTGGCAACCGTCTTGAGAAGTAGAGACTTGTAAGAGTCTACCTGATGGGTGTCAGACACAGATTCACAGATTCTTTTGCACGACAGACCGGTGTGGTGAGTTGGAAGTGGCTTCTTGAGTGCAAGATGATAAATCTGGTAGTGGCTATGACTGACCTCAAAACCAATGTATAGCCTGAATTAGCTCTAATTATCATGATCACTGTCATCATCTCCATCTTCATCTTCGTAATCATCTTCTCTTTGATGTCACCATCATCACCATCACCGTCATCATCACCATCATCATCACCGTCATCATCATCCTCATCAACATCGTCATGATCATCGCCTTCATGGCAGATAAACGACCTTGTGGATTAATTCTTTCCAGTTCTGCTGAAGGTGTATTCATGACTGCAATGTCATGCAGTTGCTCGAACTTGTGGGCAAGTCCAGAGCATGCAGTGTTGAGGGCAATTGGGGTCTATGGGAGAAATCTCGGTGGCAACATGCAGTTTGCAAGGAAAGAAATGCAGGTCGTGTTCGGAGCACTTCGATGTAGGAAGGGATCGCCACACCGAAGGTTCCACACATGCATCGAGATTGAAGTTCTTATGGCTTGAAGCTTGGGGAGGCTCTCCTCCAGTTGCCGCAAGAGCATTTGGCGTTACTTGGCATGGTGAGTTCTTCGATCTCCCCACGGAGAATGCAGCAACAGTTCCTGCTGAAGTCTTGAGGGGAGAGCTGGCGTATGCTGGCATCTGCACCTGCGGCGTGAGCCGTGCGTTCGGGACATTTGAGGCCAAACTGCGGAGACCCCCAGCCCAAAGGCCACTGGCGCCCTCTCCTCCTAGAGAACAAGCTCGCAGTTTGTTGCATCTGACAGAAGTACGAAGCTGGTGAATTGTCGAGCTTGCTATGACCGTCTTCGTCCGTGCACAGCCCTGACAGACCAAGATACCACAGTCCTAGACCCTAGACCTGTGGCTGTTTTGCATGCTCCAGCAATTGCAGCTGGAAACCGTGCCGGCGGCCATGCGGTCACTGCCGAGGTATCACTGGGACAACTACAAGGGCGCCAGGAAGCGCCTCGAGCGCTGGGGGCCCAGGGTCGTGGCACCATGGAGCTGACGAGTGCATCCTGGGGCTGATTCTGCGCTCTCATGGGCTTTGGCTTAGGTTGCTTGCTGAAAAAATGTGGCACAGGTCCGCTCAACAAAGCCTCTGACCGAGGCGGTGATGCGGTTGAAGCCGCAAAGTGTGAGTTCTGAGTGGCCTGACTCCGCCCGTCAGCCGCCGAAGGCCAAGATGCTGACAGCCGACTTCGGACTCACCGAGACCCCATAAACCCCTACAGGGTGGAGACACAACATGACAAGACCAGAGGACCAGCTTTTCAGGAAGCGGACAGATCCGGCATTGGCACAGCACAGCAACACAAGGTTTCGTTGCACCTGTCGTCCCTTGAGCTTGCGCAAGAAGGTGCTCGAAGAAGACGTGCAGCTCTGGCGACAAGTATCGACACGGGCTTGGCGTAGCAGCTAAGCAGTTCCAAGTCTGGCCGCGAGCAGCGTCGCCAGACATCGTCGACGCTCAAAGTTTCAGCGGATTAGGCAAAAAGGAGCTATTGGACTGCTCCGCCGGAGCTGTGCCACAGCTGCGTAGCAGATTCTTCTAGCTATCTCACCCAGCCCGAAGTCTTCAGGTCCCACACAGCCTTTCTGGTTGCAGCTAGGCTGAACCAAGCCGTCCACTGCAGTGTCAATGTCCATTGCCATAGCGCAAAGAAGCAGTTAGCCTCTGGGACTGGATGCGCGATGGGTGTCATGACTCTTAGAATCAAAGCTTTTGGGTTGCTGCGAAGTCGCTGACTGCTAAGCGGGAAGAACTCCGGCAGAAGGACACCCCGGTGAATCTCAACTACCAGCTTCTGCCGGTACTGCACTCGGAGGATGTGTATGATCAATTATAGATAGTCGGAGGGCGAGGCCGGTGTGGCAGAGTGTTGCCGCGAGTATGTCTGTCTGCGGAGTGCCAAGAGGCAGCTAAGTTACATCGATATCAAGACAACTTTGCGAGGCGGCAGGATTTGTGAGGTCGGCAGTGTCAGATGCTGTACGTCCCAAGTGGTATGGCTGGTCTGCACTGAAGCGGAACATATAGCGAACTAGGACCATTCTAGCAAGCTATTTCTAGCCTGGAGTTCCAATTAATCAACCTTGAGTCGAACAGCGGTGAGTCCAGCGAATTGATGAGGTCTTGATGAAGTTCGCTTTGCGTCCTTTTTTGGGCCAGTCGCCGGCGGCTTAGAGCAATGGTGAGCATCTGAGGTTGGTGGCTCTTTGCTCATCTTGCTTTCAATTCTAACTAACCTATCCAAGGTGGTATCTTGAAATGTGAGAGCGAGAGAAGCGAGCTAGAAGACCTTCGCGTCATTCCGTGAGCTGTGAGGTCTCTGTCGACGCAGCCGGATCCGTTCGCCGACCCGACTGCGCTCGCCTTCCCGGCGAACCCCCTCCTGGCAAGGGACTTTGCTCGAATCATTTGCCGACTGGACAAGTGCAAAGCTGCCCTATCACCGTCGTCATACCTTTATTGCAGTCCTCAGCCTGCTGTGATTCGGTGCATGTATGTGCATGTCGCTGAGATTGGTGGCGTCTGCAGCCAGCATCTCAGACTCGTTTTTGCGCGGCAGCTCCGTGACGGGAGCCTGCAAAGAAAAGTGTGGTGACTAACTGTCAAAGCCGAAGATTCGCGGGGTTCAAACTCCCAGTGAGGCCCCTCACGTAGCTTCCCAGTGTCACGGAATATAGCGATTTGCAGTTCAGATCACACGCTCAAACAGTCCTTTACTTACGCCACATCTGTGCATGTCCATGCGCATTTGTATGCACCCCTCTGTATGTTCATAAGTCATAGGAAGTACATACAAAGGATGCCTTCCTCGGGCTGCTGTCTTTTCTCTTTCCGAGTGCAGGTTGTAGCTCGCTCCTGACCGTCTGAAGCACTCGCTGTCTCGTGGTGATTCTCTCGGGTGGTCATGTCTCCTATTCCAGGATGGGGTGTTCTGCTTCCAGTCTGTGCTTCGTCAGTGCAGTGTGATGCGATGCGGCTGTGCGCGACTGGGCCTCCGCAATTGCCGTTTTTCAAACCGGTTGACGAATCCGGCGGCAGATTTGCGACATCCGCACTGGCCACTTAACGAAACAACCGAGCAGGGCGCTGGCTGTCCTGGACCATCCTGAACCAATGATGAAGCGCAATTCTCTGCTGCGTGCCGAGGTCTGATCATGACGGCGCTGACTCTGCTTCCGATAGGCCTACACTGCAAGGGTAGGAAGTTGTAGGACCTTCCGCACTGTGATAAGTATGAAGGGAGCCGGAGAGAGTACGAATCCACCTGGGCACCAAATCTGCACATGCCTTGGGACGTCTGATGCGCGTCAGCGGGAAGATTGCACTAGTGCAGCCCCGAGGGATGATGCAATTTGTCGATTTGACCAGTTGTGAAACCTAGCTCCGTAAAGGACACCTCGATGGCGGGCCCGAGCCACAGCATGTCACAGCGTTGCGATCGGCTGCCTAGTTCTTGACAAGTCTTAGATGCATCTTGGCGTGATGGCTTCCAGGGTCCATAAGAAAGCAGGTATTCTCCCTTGACTGCGCGGGGTTTGGGCATTGACTGCTCACAGTGTAGCAAGATAGAATGGTTCAGAGGGGCACTTTGCCCACCTGCCCTTGTGAACTTCTTGGCCCAGGGTGCTGGCACGCAGTGCCCTGGGCGGACTCGCCTCACCTGCTGGCCTTCTAGGTGGGATGAAAGTGGATAGTGTCAACAATAGGAGCAAGCGAGTCAGCAAAAGACATAGGACGCGCACAAGAGGGTCACAAGATGCTTGCGACTAGTCGTGCGCTGGCCGCATATCAAATCTTCGACTGTCTAGATTTCCGTCATGTGCTTCCCAGCCTTCCAACCACAGCACAACATGCGTTCTAAAGATCGCACCTGCTACAAGACTGACTGCCTGACTGTTGCGCAGCTACCGCGCTGATACTCTACGGCACCTTCGTGCTGCCCTCAGCAGTGCCGCAGTGCTTTGTTTCAGAACTTGCACGGTAGCCCATGTGGATGTCAGAGGTTGTCAAAGCTTCGGAAAAGTGATGACAGCAAACGTGTTGGCACGCAAAGCTTTTGGTGCGAAGCAGGTAACGCAGCATTCAAAAGACCACTCTGTACACAGACGTGGCTCAGGGTCCCGGCGATGCTGCCTCGCTGTACTGGGCCTTCGGCGTTTCGGCCGGAACCTCGAAGAATTAGCTGGTAAGACTTGCATACAGCTGTCTCTTCACTGATTCTCGAAGTTGCCAATCCAGATTTCTTATCGAATCAATCTCAAGCCCCGTTCTCCGCTGAGTTCCTTATACAACAGAATGTGACTGCGAGGTATTGCTGTTTCAGCAAGGAGCAGAGGCTCCGCCAAAGGAGGCGAACTGCTTGAGAGGTTTTTCTTGTGCTCCTTGAGTGATTGCAGCAATAGGGCCACAAAGCGTTGGACACAGCCGCGAACATCCAAATTGAGGAGTGTAGTCAGTAAGGATTTACTCGACTATCACTTGCTGCACCGGCCTTCAGCACGGCATTTGTAATTTTGAAGTAGCAGCTGACAAATCGAATGAGTACATACATTGCATCTGTCGTTAGATGCGCGGATTGGCGACTGTGCGTGGCTGCACTTCTTTAACAACTTCTTCACCCGATTCTGTTAGACGGAGCAGATTTTCCGAGCTGCAATGCTGTTGCGTTCCTGTGGAATACCTAGATCTGAGGACTCAGCACTTGTCACCCTAACTATTTCGTATACATTCCAATCACCATGTCATAACCCGGGTCGTGCAACTAACTATAAAGTGCATGAATCCGCGCCCTTGCTGCTGCTGCAGCTGCGGCTACCAAAAACCTACCCTTCCGCCGAGGCGATCAGCAAGGTTTCTGCGGCACAGCAGGCGTGAAGCTATGGTCGCATGCACTCATCGGCTACCCTCACATGCAAGCAACAGCGTCGCTTGGTAGGGAGACCGGTGCAAAGCAGTGCTACAAGAACTATAGTTGAGCTCCTCATTCCAAAGTTAATCGCGGGGTGAAGTTTCGGTCGGCATCTTCAGAAGGTGTTGGCTGTCCTCCTCGTCTTGATCGGCTTGGCGCTGGCTGTTCCAGGCTGGTAGAGTTTATGTCACTGCAGACAGGGCCATCTGCCGCAGACATGGCCACTCATGGCTGTTGCAAAGCGTCGGTTCTCTAGGAAAGCAATGGGCTGCAAGGTAGCTATGTGGAGAGCACAAATCGAACACGCATTGACGACATATGCGACTGGAGAGGTTCACAAGCATGTGACTCAATTGCCAGGCTATGCTTTCCCACAGATTTAAGGCCGGGTCCCTGTGATGGTCATACCTTTTCGTGGAGAGAGTGACCGCAAAAAGAGAGAGAGAGAGAGAGGTAATACCTTGTCACCTTTGTCAGCTTGCGTGTTTGGAGTGGAAAGAGCTGAGTGCCTGATGGACATCATGCCACTATAGCGTAGGGGAGGCGACAGAGCGGATACTCATTTACGGCACTTGGTAATCTGCGGTGTTCTGTCGGGGGAAGTGTCGCCTCCTTTCCTGAGTGGTCGCTTTCAGTACAGAAGACCGGGGGGGTAGCTGGACCGGTGATGACCGCTGCCTTCCCCACGCCCTTTAGATAGAGAGAGAGAGAGAGAGATGACTCATCGAGCCCTACGCCCTGCAGGAAGAAAGAAAGAAAGATGAGAGTATTCATCGGGCTTGACGAGGGTTGGCTCATACCCGAGGAAGGAAGGAAGAGGCTCCAGCACGCAGGGCCTGATTCGTCCTAGAACTTGGGAGACGAAGAAGGTTGTCATGCAGCTTTGGCACCGCAACTCTGCAGGATCGACACGTCCACAGCATCAGTTCGGCTTACAGAAGGCCTACAAGCATCTCAGCAGAAGATCGATGTCTCTCACACGTAGTCACGGCTTGCCGACAGGAGAAGACACCAGAAGTGTGAACCTCATGATGTGTTGACTGTGAATCGCCAAATGTTAGATTCAGCCGATTGCACTCGAGTGAATCTAGAGAACCCAGGATATGATCCTGGATGAAATCAAAACAAGATTTTGGGTGTAGGGCTCGGAGCCTGTCTTCTCCAGCCCTTCCAACCACAACTTCATGTGATCGAAGCAGCTGAGGGTCTGTTTCAAAGGAAATTGAA